TTGGACTGTTGGCCGGACAAAACAAGACATTTGACAACGTCAACTTTGGTTTCCGGACACCTGTGATAAGCATTTTCCACTATTTTCTGCTTTTTTAAAAAAATTTCTTTTAAATTTACATTTTATAGACTAAATGCTTAATTGTATGTTACTGTTGTACTTGAAATTACTCAGTAATATTCAAATATAATTATAACATCCAAAGTGATGTTATTGATAACAGCTGCGTAGTTGGCACGTTTTTATCAGAGCGGTTTTACATCAGAGTGATTACTACTAATGAAACTGTTAAACTCCACACAGCTAATGTTAGCATCATATGCAGACTGACAGGAGAGGCTGGTTTACAGCTCTGAATCCCGGAGGACCAGACTGACTTGCTAACTCACAGAAATGATGACTCATCAACAGCGACATTTGTCATTACAGCTAGAGAAATCAAAATTTCCACAACTTAGAGTTTTTGAACTCCTAGCAGTGCTATGGAGCTGTACTACAGATGCATTTATATAACCTACATAAACAAACAATACCGACAGCGAGAAGATTGACTGTCTCTACATAGTTATTCTTCATGCCCTCCAATAGGTCGGATTCTCCTTGAAATCAATGAAATGAGGCAGTAGAAACACTACCGGTTTTGTCCACAGGGGCCAACAGATTTAACACAAAATGAAAGTTCTTTGCAAATAAAGGAAATGTACTTTATGATTTTTGGAGCTCAAAGATTCACACAGTGAGTTGTGTGAAAGTGAGAAACACAGAATGTCAAATTTGCTTGTTATTTAACATGGTTTCCATTCGCCTCTGTTTTATTGGGCAGCCAGATTGCTCCAAACGTGGACAATTTCAGTCTTACTAAAACAGGCTTCTTCTCTCCTTTCCTGAACAGTTGAGATCCAACAAGAATACAGATTTTAAGCTTATTAACAGTTCAGCCATGTTTGTGTGCTTTATGCTCATCGTAGTTATTTAGTGTGAATGTCACCAAGGTTTTCTCAAGGTCCGTTTCTCTAATCCTACAGGGTCCATAAGCTCCGAACTGCCTCTCACTTATTCTTAATTTTACACTTCTTTCCCTTTTTAATTAACATTTCACTGGTGTTGATTCGACCTTGGGACCCTAATGTGTTTCTGTAGGATATAAAAAGCTGTAATCGTTGGTTTTTCTCCTTACTGCTGTGATGTGATAGCGGCTGGAAACTGCTTCTCCATGCTTCATAAATGTCATCAAGACGTTTTGTCTCCATTAAGCTTCTCTCACAGCTTTTCTCAAAGCTGTAAAGACGATATTTTCACTGTTATCCCACCAACAGTAAACTAACAGCTCAAATGCTCTCCAACAGCCGTCAAACCTGACTGGCATCTCGTCATCGAATGTGCACTGATTGATGTGTTCATGACCATCTCTTGATCTGTAGAGATGAGCTCTCCAGAAAGCCTCATTTGAGAAATTTAGGGCGAGTTTGAAAATATCATTTATGATTTTGGGTGCCACTGGTTTTCTGTTTTGTATACATGTATATTTGGTTGTATTTAGAGTAGGTGTTGGAAAAGTTATCTGGCTAGATTTTCTGTAAGACCAACATAGATGAGACGTGAGAATCCATCTTTCCAGGCTTTGATCTATGCGTTTGTGGCTTGTACAGTGGTACCGGACCAGTCGGCGTCCTTTGAGGAAGTACTGGTTGGGCTTCCTGTAGTTGTTGTTGCTGTTTTTGTTGTTGTTGACAAACAACAAACACACTTAACACATTAAAACCCAGAGAGATCAGAGATCAGACGACTCCTCTTCTGTGAGCAGTGTGGCGTTTACCACCTACACACACACACACACACACACACACACACACACACACACACACACACACACACACACACACACACACACAGACAGTCTAATCCTGTGCAGACAGACAGAGTCTGATCAGGCTAATCCCTCCTCACCTCCCTCTGCTCTGACCGGCAGTTTACCTCTCCGTAACACACACACACACACACACGCGTCTCCCTGTCATTACCTTACTCCTGGAGTCTGTTGATTCATTTATGAACATACTAATTTATTTAAGTGGAGCTAAAATGAGGCAAAATCCCAGTTGGAGTCACACTCTGATGAATGATGAACGTCAGCTAAAGTGTGTGTGTGTGTGTGTGTGTGTGTGTGTGTGTGTGTGTGTGTGTGTGTGTGTGTGTGTGTGTGTGTGTGTGTGTGTGTGTGTGTGTGTGTTCAGCTAAACCCTCCTGTAGTAAACAAGTGCTCCATGCAGTGACACGCCCATGATCATCTTAGAGCACACACACATGTTCTGAGGCACACATAGTAGCTGAAGTACCTTCTTTTTTTTTTTGTTTAGTTCAGCATTTACTCAACTGGTTATTCTTTCTTTTTGATTTGACTTTAAACTTTTAGAACAAGTACATACCAACAATAATACCACCTAAAACCCGCGGGCCGGGTTGGGCCGATATGTGCCGCCACTATCCTAATTGGGTGGGGAGAAAGCTATGGCATAATCAGAAATATTATATATATTTTTTAGCAAAGTTGGCCTAAATAACAAATGTGTACAAAGTTGCACAAGTTAGGCTACAAAGTTACTAAGTGCAACACGTGTCATGCGCAGCGTCTCCTCCACTCGCACGCATCACACCGGGCCGGGCCTGCCTGCCGATCGATTCCATTATGAATAAACAAACAACACAGTTTACATGCTTCGTCCTTGTTGCATTATTCATTAAGATTATTCTAAACAGATTTCTGTAGTTCAAACAACTCGGAATTGTAGTTGAGAACGTCAGATATTACGGCCCACATATTAAAAAATTGTCGGGTTTAAATCGGGCTCATAATTACAGTTAATGGGCCGGGCTCGGACACAGCGTGCACGGGTTCGGGTAGGGTCGGGCCCGATCAAAGCTCTAATCCACAGTCTACACTGGCTGGATTTATCTGTTTACTGCACTGGTTGGAGGTGTGCAGCTTGTTATATGTACAGGTATGTCACATAATATAACAAGTTAGGCACACAGAGCTGTTCAGCTGCCAGGCAGATACCTAAAGGATAGCAGCAGACATTTTCAACTCCTAATTGTACAGTTATAGAGCAACATTATTTTTTTTAATATTCAGATTTTCTCTTTAGGAAATAATTACCAAGGTCCAGACCTCAGTGACCTAATATCTAGTCGGGCCATGCAAGGGACACCAAATTTTAGTGCAGAGACATTTGCAGCCGATCCAAATGATTGAGATTGATCAGCTCATTAAACTGTACATAATGTTTGGGAACATTTAGCAGTTCCAAGTTGGCAAAATACCCAGAATAAAGTCTGAGGAGGATTCGATGTGCACCATGGGACACTGCTTTATCTTTTTTATCAGTTTGATGGACTACTTGGATTTATCAGATATTTATCAGAATTATCCAAAAACAGACATTACTGTCTGGAAGGTTGAGCAGTTGATAAATGCCAGAGCTTCTCTGGGTCCAGCTTCTCAGAATTTTCTGATTCTGTGATGATAAATTGAATCTCTTTTGGTTTTGGATGGTCAGTTGTATAAACAATACATTTGACAATAACTGCTGTAGCCATAGATATTTTATCCATTTTAAAAGATGTCCTGCTCTGATCTCTTTCATGGGCAGTTTTTTGTTGTTGACTCTTGAGCAGTCATACAGATTCTTCCTCTGTAGCTCTGACAGACTGTGCTTTATAGATTTGTTTTATTGTCCTTTTACAGTCCGTCTGTCTGTGTTTTTACATTTAATTTGTGTTTTGTATCAAAAAATAGCCCTGAGTGCTTTGGCAGCGAGAAAACAGGAGGCTTTCCTCGAGTCATTACACAGTCTGCAGAGGCCTTAAATTATCTCAACATAAGGTCTTAGAAGAGATTTAACAGCCTTAAATCCAGTTATTACAGGTCCTGCTCGTTACTGGGTAATGTTGGGTTTCTGCTCCTGTCTGTCTGCATCACAGAGTTCCTTCACATTTAATTTCCTGTTTTTCATTTCTTTACTTTCACATCTTTAATCAGCAATATAAAACAAGCAGGCTGATTATTGAACTGCTTTGTTTTTAGTTATGAGATAAATTTTATCCCAGGTAGAGATCCAAAGCTCTTTCATCGTGGCCACAGAAAATACTTCTGATTGCCTTTTTATGGAGGGATCAATAGTTTTTAACCCAAAGTCTGGTGTAACTCAATAACCACTTACAGTCACCTCTGCCTTGCAGTTTTTTGAGCTTTCGTCAGTGAAACTCAGCACTTCCTGCTAGGCATGGGACGATTTAAAAATGTCATGGCAAAAAACATTGGAGTCACTTTATATTACATTTTGTCATTCTTTACTTTGGTATCCGAGTATTTCCACACATCCAGTTTGACTTGGTTTTGTGGGGATCCAACGGACAAGCCGAGCCTTCAGCCATGGTGACAGGCTTAGGATTTTGGAATGACTGGAAAGATGTGACTCCCCCCTGTGGCAATTCAAAATAAATCAGGAAACCAATAGAGTGTGTTTTTATTGCATTATGCCATAATATCATATATTATCCTATTCCATCCCAACAGATGTTTCAAATAATAAGTCTTCCAGGATGGGATGGATTATGCCCTTTTAAGCCTCTGGTAAGATTGCAGTAATAAGTTACACTGAGAGGAAGCTACTGTAGTCAAATAGTAAATGAAAACAGTATTTGTGTTACAAAGTAAGTGTTTTCAGCAGTAAGTATGATGTGTCTGTTATACGGATGGAATTAGTGCTGAAATTATACCAAATTTATCAAGACAACAGGTAAATATGGAGGAGGGTTGACTATGTTGACAGTAAATTAAAACAGGAGCAGATCAGATATTAGAAATAAAGGCCTGGTTAATTCTGTGTGATATTTAAAAAAAAGTCTTAAAAAATTATAAATTGACTTTGGCGAACAGTGAAGAAGCCCTGTGAGTGTGTGTGAAGAAGCCACTCAAACTCTTTGTCCTTCTTCTGCAGATCCGTCCTCGCTGCTGTGACCTCTGACCTGGACCTCTACCGTTGGTTCTGGCTATGGTGATGACGAAGACGAGCATGAGGTGCAGACACGGCTCAACTGCACGTGTTGACGTGTGAATGGAGGGCAAAGGTCGTCGCACCTGCAGCATGCGCGTACGGAGAGAGATGAGTCCTTGAAAGTCTTGGACTATAAAGCAGAGAACCCTTTTGAAATTCCTTGAAATACAGAATAAAAATCAGGTTTATTCATTGGACTGTTGAATTAAAAGTATTGAATACAGAACCTGGTGAATGTAAAATTGAGAACAATGAACCACTGAAATTTCACACAGAGGATACAGTACTTTTCTAATCTCCTGAATTAACAACAAAGGACATACAATGTTTGGAATTTCTGGTGCTAAAACCTAGGATACAGAACTTCTGGATATCCTCGCATTAAAAACAAATGTTTTATTGCAACGTGGAATTTAAAATTGCAGAAGGTTAGTTCAAGTTAAAGTTTAGACTTTAAACGTTAGAATTTATTTACTCACGGAATTTATCTGGAACTTTTTTTAATTTTGGCGCAGCATTTAATTTTTTTCCATCCATTTTTTTGAGTTTTCATCACACTCTGACTTTCATCCTCCTCTCTGCCTGAGGACATGGCTCTGTCTCCTTCGATAGGAGAACGGACGACAGGAAGTTGACTCCTGCAGGGAGCGAGAGACAACCCAGGAGAGAGAGAAAAAGAGAGAGAGTGGGAAATGTCGTGGAAGAGGAACTACTTTGCGTCAGGCAGTGGTGGAGGAGGCGGTGGAAACGTTGCCGGTGGCGGTGGTGGTGGTGGCGGCGGTGTTGGTGGTGGGATGCAGGGAATCTTGACGCCTCGCACTATGACGTCCATTGCTCCCAGTAAAGGGCTGAGCAACGAGCCAGGACAGAACAGCTGCTTCCTGAACAGCGCCCTGCAGGTACACACACACACACACACACACACACACACACACACCACACACACACACACACACACACACACACACACACACACTCTTTGTCATTTCTTACTTTTTCGACTTCGCTCTTTCACACACACAACCTTTTTCTCTGACCTTTGACCCTTCTTGTGAGACCGGTGTTGAGAGACACACTGAGTGGTTTACAAACCTCTGAAGTTCAGTCTTCAGAATCTCCACTTAGGAAAAGCACATGAAGACATGAAAGGAAAATTTTAGTGAATGAGTCATATTCAGTATTAATCTGCTGATATTTTCCAGATTCATTGATGAATCTTTTGAGCTACAACACCATCAGGTTCCCTGGAGCCCTAGGTGACGTCCTCAGATGTCTTCTTTCCAAAACTATCTAAAGATATTCAGCTTATTGTCTAAACAATTAATAATAAACAACAAAAATAAACAGAAAATCAATTGGAAATTATTTTATCGATCAGTTAATTGTTCAAATTGTAAGTGCACCTCTTAATTCTGCTAGCTCCATCCCTCTCAGCAAATTTAAATAATGCGTGAGAGACCTTTGACATTTGGCCCTTGTCAAAGTCGCTCAAATCCTCATGCTGCCCATTCATCAACATCAACTTGAGGACAAAATGTTCACTTGCTGCCTAATATAGCCCACCCACTGACAGGAGCCATCAGTGTAGCTTATATGTAAATATATGCAATGTCTCTGTAGTGAGTTATAGATTATTTGGCTCAATAATAATAACGTTCAAAGTGTGTGTGTATGTAAATATCCATCGCCATATACCAGGTGCCAAATAAAACATCCAGGGGGATTTCAATGTTTTATTCAGATTTAAGGGCAGGGAACAACTAACAGAATTGGACGAGAGTGAGACAGTGAAGTCAAAGATGTGAGTTATTAAACTATATTTATTATGTAGAATTGGAAAGATTTTGGACAATAGTTGTTAAGTCTGGGACAGTTGAAAGTAGATTTCCAGGACATTTGTGGGACATTTATGAGACAGGAAAAAATTAAATTTTGAGCTTTATGTCAGAATATCTGTATCCATGCTGGAAACACAGAGTGCGCTGGAGCTTTCACAGTCACTAGAAGCACATTCACAGCTGTTTGTTTCTGTGTGGTACCTGTGATGTAACAAAACTAGCTGTTGTGTTGCTAAACGGCTCACTGAGGCTAACTCTCCGGTATGTGTGTGTGTCTGTGGGGGAAGTGTTGGTGCGATCATTCTAAGGTAACAAAAATACAACATTATTTATTCTCATTCAATATTCAGTTTGTGCTAATGGATCCTCCTATATGTTACACACTGGACCTTTTAACAGAGTTGTGGGTGGGTGAAAGTACTTTATTACAGTACAGGAAACCAGTTCTTGCTCTGAGGGAAGAAGCTTGTTGATGTTTGCTGACATGACTTAAATGTGCTTTTATGGCCTTTAAAAATCCCACTCTGTAAAAGGGCCTGATTGTGAACAATGTCAAAGTGCTTGTACTGCACAGCTATACTGTGGCTGGAAGCATCCAATGACACTGACAGAAGGCTGGAGCTTCATAAAGCTCTTTAACTTCCAGGTCCACCGCAGTCAGTCAGACAGACAGATGACTCCACTATCCATCTCACACTCACACATAACAACCAGTTTGATAAACTCCTCCATATTTGTGTGAGCCTGTAATGAGCCTCTGCAGCTCCCAGAGCTGATCAGCCTGTAACACCTCCCAGACTCCACATTACATTCATTTATGACTCATCAGCTTTTTAAGGAGGAGGTGGGGAGGTGTATTGTCTGCCTCTGCCAGCCTCAACAATACGAGCTGAGACAGTGTGAGGGATGGAGTGTGTGAGAGCAGTAATTATTGGTGTTGTGCGTTTAAACGGAGGCAGACTCATTAACTCTGGAGGGTGGGGCCAACAGTTCAGGCTGCTGTAATGACAGACTGGGCTGAAGAGGAAACACTCATTACATCGTTTAACTGAAGACTTACTGTGAGCTCAGCAGCTCCTGGATCAGCAACATTACACACAGGTCAGAGGTCACGGCACACCATGTGAAGCTAACGGACATCACCGTGTCTTCTGTCATCAGAGAAGCCTTTCATGCCGCGGTCACTCTACATGACTTTCAAAGTTGTCATCGCTCGTCATCGCTCGTCAACTTTCTAGCTTTTATTCGGGAGTATTGAAGTTGTGGTTTTCACACTATATGACTGATCAGCAACAGGGGGTCACACACGAGAAAAGGAGTAATCCCCAAGTCTGTATTGGTCTACAAACTATGTGTCATCAGGAGTCATTAATAACACCATTAATAGCAAGGACATCATGTTTAATTAGGAAAGTCGTTTAAAACCCGACACAGAGGGCAACCATTTGAACATAGAGTACAGCTGAGTACAATAAGCTGATACTTAGCCTGATCATCCAGCGTCAGTAATAAATACACATGTTATTAATCAATTGAACACTATCAACCATTAATCAAACTAATAACTAACAGCAGTCTACAGCAGATAACCGTCTCATACTTTAGCAGTTACTGAGTGTTTGTTTCTGTAGTGGTGACAAAACAATAAAAAATAAACATTAGAATTTTAAATTAAACTTAAGCTCCCTGTGCCAAACTCCCTTTTAAGAAATATGAAGTATGAACAATTCCTAGCGTGTCCATAAAAAAACCTAACTCTAGAAACACAAGCTAAAAGGCGTCAGATGTCGACAGTTGTCTTGTCAATTTGGCATTAATATAATCCATTAAGATAAACTACCAGGTAGTAACTAAAGAAACTACCAGGTAGTAACTAAAGTAACTACCTGCTTCGCTGCATCCTGTGTGATGCCGGAGACAGCCTGTGTCTGCTCTCATTGGTTGTAGCCCGCTGCATGGCTCTGACACAAACAGATATTTAGCCCGTTTAAAGTTGTAATCCTTAAGGTGTGTGTGTGTGTGTGTGTGTGTGTGTGTGTGTGTGTGTGTGTGTGTGTGTGTGTGTGTGTGTGTGTGTGTGTGTGTGTGTGTGTGTGTGTGTGTGTGTGTGTGTGTGTGTGTGTGTGTGTGTGTGTGTGTGTGTGGATTGACTATTCATTATAACTTTAAAACACCTGAAACTTTCAAATATGAAAGGATAATTCTGTTTTATTCACTCTTAATAGCACTATATATGTAGTAACATCAAAAATTACACATAAATTAATTAGTAATAATTAGTATCCCTTTTTGCTTGGGTTAATGCTCTGTGTGTGAACCGTCACTAAAGACTGCCCTCTAGCCAATATGGTCACAACAGTACACTCTAGTGTTGCAGCTACAAACATTCCATTCTCATTAACGGATGCAATAATATCAACTTTATATTTGTTTAAATTTGTCACAAATAAAGCAGAAACAGAGAAAGTAAACAGTGAAGCACATGCAAAGATTTTCAGTAAAGGTCCAGTCAAAAAACTCTTGCAAAACGTAAAGATTGTAAAATAAAACAATTACTAAACTTCTTTAGGACTGCATCTAACAATAATTTACGTTATTGATTCATCTACAATTTATTATTATTAGTACCATATTTTCTTGATTTCCTGATTTAATTAAAGTAGTGACCAATGGCTGTAAGAATTTCCCAGGGTCTCAGGTGACATATTCAGATGTCTGCTTTAGTCTGGCCAACAGTCCAAAACCCAAAGAGATTCAGTTAAAATAGAAAAAATAAATAAAACCTCACATTTTAAAAGCTTAAACCAGCAAATGTTTGGCAGGTTTGCTTGAAAATCAATTATATAACTAGCTGATTAGTTTTCAGTCAATTAAGGCTGTACAAAATGATAAAGATCTCATATTCCGATTTAGGTAATTTCATATCAACAATATATATTACAGTATAGGACATTTTCTGTAAACTCAATAAATAAGTAGTTTATATAAAATTACCACATGGAAAGACCTATTTCTTATTACATTTTGAATTATATAGTTGACAAATAAAAGGTACTTAGGCATATTTGATTATTTTTCTCATTTTTTTTAATTTGATTTTCTGCCAAGTAATTGTTTTAAATAGAGTAGTAATATGGTTTTAAACCTCTTGTTAAAATACAGAATACTTCCTTTTGTGGATAGATGTCTGAGGTATGTCTGAAACTTATTCTCACCCCAGTCAAAATATACTGGAAACATATTTGGAAAAGCTTTAAGTATACATTTTGTAACCTGTACCCTTCAAAATACTTCACACAGTCATTTTAGGATCTTTTACATAATTTACTCTGCTACACATACGCTGTGTGACTCTAATTCTACTGAGCCTCGGGTATTAGTTTGCTGCCCTGCAAGATCCGAACCCCCCCTGAGCCCAGTACACCATGAACACACAGACTTCCTCATGACTCCTCTGCACCGGCCAACTATAAAACTTTACCAAGCTGACCCCCTCCAGCAGCCCTTCTGCCCTCCGTCCGTCCTTCTCGACTCGTCACTGCTGCCTAACGTCAACCCAAAGTGATCAGAAGGATCGTTAGGCTGCCGGCAGCTGAGCTGGGCGAAATGGAGGCACCGTGGCAGGCGACCCGAGGAGTCGTCAAGCTGTGAGAGACTCAGCAACTCCGACATGTGACGAAGAAAAAGTGAAGAGGAAGAACATCGCGATAACAAGCAGCTGAGGCCTTCAGATCAGCTGTTCACACACCTTCATCCTCCTCATCCTCCCTCCAACTTTCTAAGGAAAACATCCGCAGCAACGTCTGCAGTACCAATCTGACATTCTGATTCACGTCATTTAATCAGGCACAATTAATACCTAATTAATTTCCCCCTCCATCATGGAGCTGGGACATCATTTAACATAAACACAAGTCAACCCTCGTCAGGTGTTTGCACATTTTAACATACTAATTATCTAATTGGTCTAAATCCTCCACCAGGTTTTTGGGTTTTGAGGTCTTTGAGGTCAGTCCATCACAGCCAATGTTGAGTGATCTTATTTAGTATTTTTTTGGTCC